GCTAGCCTACTAAAGTCGATCAGCCTGGAAGCAATAAGAGAAAAGAGGGTCAGGATGACAGTGAATCACTTCACAAATTGTGTTATAATAAATGTGTTTTCATAACTGCATTGTAAATATTCCTAAGTCCTCCTTGTAGCATTAATAATAGTATGGAGTTCCAAAAAGTCCTATAGAATTGAAAATAGAAATATTCCTATTCTACTGACCAAAAGAAAAACTGCCATTAGGTTTCACTCAGGTATGGCTAATTTGTATTAGGACATAAATAATTATCTATTTAGGTCAGCTTCCTGCCTGACTAATTCAAATTTGAGCAATAGAGTATAAAAAAGACTAAGTTTGAATAACTTTTCAAGTGGAGACAATAGGGTAATTCTAAGGTGTGAAAAAATAAAATAAAAACTAAGGAAAAAGATTAAAATCTGGAAATGTTTTCAAATTTACTATTTTAAACAAACTTGAAATTATATTCTAAAAGTGCAAAAGAGAAGTAAGACCCCACCAATATTTATCCTGGACTGAAAAAAAAAACCTCCTATTTTAAAATTAAGCAGACAACAGATGAGGAAAATGAGTACATTTAAACCTGCAATTAATTGACAATGGGAAAGGGAAAGAACTGAGGGAATGATGGAGTGATCTACCTTCTCCTGTCATCTTTCCTGAGTCTGTAAAACCCAAGGCTCATCTGCTATTTCCCAAACTTTCTGGTCTAACTTTCCTGTTGAGAAGGAAGGAAGGAAGGAAGGGAGGAAGGAAGGAAGGAAGGAAGGGAGGAAGGAAGGAAGAAAAAAGGAAAGAAAAATAGATCCATTTTTCCATATAGGACCTTTTCTTTCTTTCATTCATTAAAATGCAAATTACCCTTAACAAATTGTTCAGCACAATGACCAATCCAATGAGGGTGCATATTTTGATAATGTCAGTTAAATCTTGAAAGCCCAGTGAGATAGGAGAATTAACAACTTGGATTTAGCCTTGGAGAAGACTATAAAGGAATGAAGAGGTGAAGAGTCATGAGAGGAAAATATAAAACTAACAGACGACACTGGATATTCTCAGTTCCCCCAAACCCAAGAAGAGGGTAAGATACCAATCAGAGCCAAAATAGCAGAAGAAAGTAAAAAGTGCATTAACATATAGCAGAATTCTTCTGTGAGCTTTGTTCTTTTTTCTCTTTGCTCTGCAGGTTGTTTTGATAAAAGACTTCTTAAGTAAAGTTTAGGCTATTTTTCCATTTTCTTACTTCAGCAGTTCTTTTAGAGTTTAGTAAACATTTGCCTGGGGTTGGGTTTAAATTGTAATGACAGCTGTTTCCTGCCCTTCTTGAGTTTAAATAAAATTTCCCCATCTAGGGAATATAGTAGGAACTCTCTTTCTATTGGAAGATGAGTTCATTTTGTACTGAAGTTGATTAATAAGTTATTTTTTTCTAGAGCACTGATGCTCTGAAAGGGTTAAGGCCTCCTTTCATCAAAATTAGAAAGGACAAGCGTGAAAAAAATCCATTTTGTTTTTAAAACAAAAAATGAAAGAAAAATAAGCCAAATCCACGTACTGCCCATTTCCTCCTGCATAACCTTTTTAAGCAGGCCCGGCCATATCCTGCTTCCTCCCTGCCACTTGCCATCTGGCTGTTCCATATCTATCCAAGCAGGGAGACTAGAATTTCCTTGAATTTCTATGAATCTATTTTGTGAGTTTGAGTTTTCTTTGCTGGCAGAATTCAAAAGCATGTTGATGAAAAGAGTCAAGCATAAAAAATAATGGAGTTTTTTACTCACAGACTCAGTCTGGAAACTTGAGGGGTCACTTAACATTCCTGTGCTTTCATCATCAAAAAGCAACAATGTAGTGATCATCTCCCAGTGTTTGACCAGGAGTTCTCCGCCAGCTTCCCAGAAATGATGGGCTTTGCGGGAGGCTGTGCACATGCAGAATTCGTGTGCAAGGAGTCTACCGCTTTTATCAGATTCTGAGAGGAACCCATGCGCCAAAATGGAAAGGTTTGAAAAACAAAAGCTGCTCTAGGATCTTTGGGTGACAGAAGGAAGTACAAAAATTGGAGGAGTTTCAAATCTAGTTAGGGAGCCAAACTTAATGCAGCCAATTCAGTGGGAGAACCATAAAAGGCAAACATATCAAAGAGCTTCATTTCATGGTGTAGCCTGCAGGAGTTCGGAAAAACCAGGAGATGAATGAGCAAGAATCATGGAAGACTTCCTGGAAGAGGTGAGATGCAACATCCCCATATTCTATCTCAGGGGTTTTTCCAGGCATGCTCGTGTTGGATCCTTAAAGTAGATAATCTAGTGTTTCTTCCCTAAATGTTAGCCATTCAGGTGATAAAGCAGAAATTGTGTAAGAGTATTTCTAACAATTTAATCATCGCTTTTTAAAGCCTGTTAGGTACAGCATTGACAGTCCTGTTAACAATGATCAGTAGTGTAACTTAAATTTTTATTTGTGCTGTCTTCCTCCATTTTCCTGTAAATTTGGCTACTTCTCCTTCCAATGGCAGGGCCCATACCAGGAAAATAGAACTTTATCTTCGTTAGATGGTATCGCTGCAGTGTCTGTCATCTTTACTGCATTTCCTGTTTCATCTTTCTGCTCAGGGATGTGTGTACATGGTTGATATCACAGAAAATATACTCACATAGGTCACAATGGAAATAATTGTTTTAAGGAAAGTGATTATGCTCCAGCCCTTACCTGGTTTGAGGTTAAGAGCTTCAGCCCTTACCTGGTTTTCTCTTAGCCAAAATATTTCTTTTACATACACATTGTTCAGAAACTGGTGCATTTATGTCAATAACAACTAAAAATTACCTTAATCTGCATCTAGAAGTAAGCAGAAATTGAAAGGGAATTCAAGCGAAAGAATTGAAATTCCAAGTCCTCTTAACCCAAGACTTGTCCGATCAGCTACACTGTTTGTGGAAATTGCTATATTTCTGTTTTGCACCTAACTTTTGTCCCACTTACTGGGACAGAGAGAAAGTCACAGTAATTATCATGTAGTGCATGGTGAAAATATATTGATAGACTTAGTAGTAAACAGTGTCAGAATGTAGAATTATTTCTAACCTGCAGGGCGTGCCTGGTGGCCTGTCCGCCATCTCACTAGCATGAGTTACCTCTGTGCTCCCCCATTTTGAGGCCTGCACCTGGGATCCCTCTGGGGAGCTTTAAAAAATACTGATGCCAGAGTCTCAAAACTAGAAGTGATTATTTGAGTGGTCTGGGGTAAAGCCTGGGAACTAGACTTTTTGAAAAACTTCCAGGTGAGCCCTAGCCAGTTTGGCTCAGTGGATAGAGCGCCGGCCTGCGGACTGAAGGGTCTCAGGTTCCATTCCGGTCAAGGGCACATACCTCATTGCATACAGGAGGCAACCAATCGATGTGTTTCTCTCACATCAGTACCTCTCTGTCTTTCCCTCTCTCTTCCACTCTCTCTAAAAATCAATGGAAAAATATCCTCAGGTGAGGATTTAAAAAAAAAAAAAAAGAAAGAAAAACTTTCAAGTGATTTTAATGCACAGCCTGGTTGAGACCCACTGCTTTGGACCCTAAGGTGCCCCTGCATTGGGATAATCTGGTTTTGGCAGAAAGTGAAACCAGAGACTTCTGGTTACGCTAAAGAAGCCGTGGTTGAGAGGTCTTCCTTTGGTGATGTTTTACGTCATTGGCATGCCTGGTTCCCACACCTGTGCGGCCTTGATTTTTCTCCTTCATTCATTCGCTACACATTTATTATGTGCCAGAGACTATGCAATTTGAGATTACTGACCACCAACCTAGCTTCTGACTTCTCCTCAAGCCCCACCCCTCTTTAAAATACCTACGAGTTTTAGAGCAGTATCAGGCTCCATTCTACCCCCCTCCCCAAAACTTGCGCCTGCCCTGCCTTCCCACCTTGCCCTGGCAATGATTCCACCCATATTTCTTACCACGTCTTGATTTTGAAAAGCATTTTCATTTTAAGGAATAAATAAGGAATATCTTTTTTAATAAAGGGTTTTGTATCGTCATGGTATAATTAGTACTAGATTGTCATCAATGAAGAAATGTGGTGCCCCTCTGCTAGGTAAATGTGGTAGTACTTACAAGAAGATCTAAGCATTTGCAACCCCAAATTAAGGACTCAGCTGGCTTTCCTTTCCAATAGGAAACAAAAATTGTCTTCTACTTTTGGAATTACTTGAGGATCAGGCAATATATTCAAATAAAAGAAATAATTCTGTGTGCCAGAATATGTTTACATAGGTGCTACAGTTGATTGGTGGGGAATCTAACTACTTGAGATCAAATACCATGCCCTTATTGCAAGAATATGTAGTTTGCCTGTGTGAGGGAATGGGGCATTTGATGCTAGCAAAAATTATTGAAAAATTAACACATGAACCTAGGTTGAAATGCGCTTTATATTTTGAATGAAATGAATGGTATTCTATGATAAACTTATGAATATTTCCACCATTTAAATGTTGATGGGAATACATTTGGAATTGTGATTTAAATTATTGTGACTCTTTTGATCTTTTAAAGCTTATAGTTGTTTTCAACAAGCACTATCTTCTTAAAACAGAAAAGTTAAAAAATTAGCAAAGTACAAAATAAGAATTGTATAATAATACCTCCACCCAAGTCAACCACTGTTAACATTTTAGAGTAGATCCTTCATTCATAGATGATAGATAGATAGATAGATCCACAAATACAGACTTTATATAAATTAGGTTAATAATGTACACAGAATTTAATATCTAGGCACTTTTATAAAATTTTTGAGTCAATTTTCTGACTTCAGAACCTTACCTATAGCTGTTCTTATATTATTAAAGGGTAATAACTGGATTAACCTGGCCAGTTATACAAATGTTCTGAGGGCTAAGGTTGATATGCAAATCAACCTTACGTATCAATGTGTGAAAGCTGGACAGACCACACAGTTTAAAAAAGGAAGTACATTCTGCAAAGCTAACTTGCACATTCACTGCCCGAGTTACGGCATCTTTGGGGTCACTGGGTGCCAGGCACATCAACTCTTTTCAAGAAAAATGGTAAGTAACCCATTTTATGGCTCTCCTTGGTCTCCTGGCAACACCTAACCTCTCCCCATGGAGCAGAGAGGGGCGGGTGCTTTCCCCGGGTCCTCCAGGCCTTGGGAAGTGTTGCTTGTCCCAAGTTGTTCCATTTGCTGTGAAAGCGGCTGAGCCTTTGCTATGTCGCTGGAGAGTGGGGCTGCAGGAGTTCCCTTTTCTGACTCCAGCCGTCAGAATAGAGGAAGAGCTATGCCTTAGAGAAAGAGCAGTTGTGTTTTCGTCTTGGCCTAGTAAGCTAGCTGAGCTCCAGAACGAGCAATGTCCGTAGTTCTGTTAAGAGCACTTTGGACCCAGAAGAGAACTCCAGTAATGCGCGCTGGGTAATACTGCTGATGGGGAGGCCATTTTGACAACACAGTGGACTTTGCAAAAGGAGCTCTTTTGTTTGTTTGTTTGTTTGTTTGTTTGTTTTTAAATGTATTTTTTATTATTTTAATTAAGAGAAGTAAACACAGCCCAAATAGTCCAAAACTTAGGGACAGGTTGTGTTCCCCTGTTAATTGAAAGTCATTCATTAGGGTGCACTTAACATTGTGACCAGGTTCCCAGTTGTACCGTAACAACTAGCTTAACTTATAATGTAGCTGAACTACAGCGTTCACCTCCTGCTACAATTTCCTATTATTTCTCTGTGGAACTTGACTGCGTTCTTATACATGTGGTGTCCTTACGTCCAGAGTCTAGAAGAGAGCCAGCCTTCAGGCCCACACACGCCCCTCCCCAGCCCCAGCTGGGAGGCCGGTTTCCCTCCTCCAACAGGGAGAGGAGGACTTCCTTTACCAGCTTCCGGTGAGAAGATGGGGAATGAGGCCCAAGCTCTCAGTGCGGGAGGGAGCGCACGGCAGGCATCGGGAGGGAGGGGAAAGGAGTTCATGGAATGTGTTTGTAGTCTGCGAGCTCTTGAGCCAGAAGGGGAAAGTGTGGAGGTGAGAGGGTAGCCATGCCCTGGAGGAGAGGAGGAGCGATGGGGTCAGAGTTGCAGTCATGCCGGAGGAATGTGCAGTGGTGACAAAAACAGTAGTACTGACCCCCCTGCAGCCGCACCTGTGGGAGGAAGGCAGTCACCTAGCAAGGTGGGACTCGCACATCCCTTTAGTGTTTCCAGACTGGGTCTCCAGGTCCAGGATTCTTAGAAAGCAGCCTGACCTTAGTTACTGACAGCCTCCTCCAACATAAACCAGGGCATTTCTCCAACAGGTGATCAAATGTAAAATTTAATATGGGACCAATGTCTCACTGGACTGTACACATGTTTCTGAGTAATTTTTAAAATATAAGTTACAGATTCCTAAGAAAAAAAAGAAATGAGGACATTGTGGTTCACAAAGAGTTATTTAGATTTTCATGGGGAAAACGAGAGGATAATAGCAGGGGGTGGGGGGGAAGGACGTTTAACTGCATTAGTGCGTGTTTGGTGTAATATGTAAGCAATGTTTTCTTATGAGATTATCTTCTTATAAAAGCAGCACCTGTTGTTAAAGACCATTTCTTAGATATATAGATATGCAGAAATGAAACAATACATAGTTTCTATAGTCTATCATCTAGGGAACAATCATTGTTAAGTCAGTACCAATCCTAAAATTTTATCACTTAAAAATATATTTTATAAATATAATTTTCTGTAAGTGCCATCATACTGTATAAACCATTCCCTTACCTATTTTTATTAGAAATGGTTTGGATAATATATGAGTTAGGTATCATTTCTAATTTAAGCTTACTTACTCTATAGTGGGGCAGTAAATAAATTTCTGGAGTTATGGTATATATCTGCCGATCTGTGTAGCATGTCAACGAAGAGGAAGTATATTCCTGTTAATTCCTCTCTCCCCCAACATAGCTGTAGAGAGGCAGGTAGCATATTAAAGGAAGGAACACAAACCCTACTTTTTCTCCTTGAAAGCATCATAGCACAGTCAAAGGGCTATATTCGTGGCTTTTTATGTTCGATTTGCTAGTTGTATGTTTTTTCACAAGTCATTTAAGTTCTAAGGTTGTCTCCTTATCCAACAGTGGTGAGATGATGATGATGATGATGATGATAACTATCCCCCCATGTTGTTTTGGAGAGTAAATAAGATCACAATTATAGAGCGTCTATTCCAGTGCAGGCACCAGCCAGACATTAGATGAACATGAGTTTCCTTCCTTTTAGCTCCAAATAAATAATTCCCTAAAGAGGCCCAGAGACTCCCAGCGAGCACAGGAGGAGTATGATGACAGCAATGAAATGTGTGAGCCCTGGCATACAATATCTCATTAAATCCCATAACAAACCTTAGAGACAGGCGCTGCTGTTGTTTCTATTGTCCAGCTGAGCACACTGAGTCATGGGAAGAGTAAGTCACTTGCTCACAGCCACACAACTATCACATACTGGGACTGGAGTTTGTGCCCAATGCTGTCTGTCTACTGTCTGAGCGTTTGTACATTCTGCTGCATCTGAGAAAAAGTAGGTCCAGAGAAGACAACAGGGCGGTTCTAGAAAAGCCCGGTACTGGCTTCTAGAGTCCGAGGGGCCTTTCCCCAGGCAGGTGGCCCTCCTGCTGGAGTTGGGAATCAGCTGGCGGAGCAGCCGCTGCTATGGTCAGTATGAATTGTCCAAATTCCAGAATGCTCACTTTATCTAAACCTCGCAGAAGCCACTGGGATGAAAGGCTGGAAGGGTTCCTGGCTTTGTGGTTCTCCACCCCACAGTTCAAGAAGGGGAGTTAAATAATCAAATGCCCCCTCCCACCTCCCCCTCCCAAGTGCATCTACTGTGTCACAGGTATGACTAACCTGGCCTCCTCCAGGCTCAATGCACGGAAAAAGATACCAGAAAGTGGGGCCATGTCATTGCCCAGGTGGTCATCGGGAAATTCACCTTTTATTGCCTAAACCTTGTAACCATTGGTAGAGGAACTGTGGAAACCTGTGGGCATGAAGCCCGAAGTATGTGGGATTTTGTGAGGACAAGCACATGGTTTATAACAGTGGTTCTTAACCTGTGAGTCGTGACCCCTTTGGCGGTTGAACGACCCTTGCACAGGGGTCGCCTAAAACCATCCTGCATATCAGATATTTACAATTCATAACAGTAGCAACATTACAGTTATGAAGTAGCAACAAAAATAATTTTATGGTTGGGTCACAACATGAGGAACTGTATTTAAAGGGCCGAGGTTGAGAACCACTGATTTATAAGATTGATGGGTGTTAGCCACACAGTGTCAAGGAGAGCCAGGTTCCAGGCCCCGCCTCTCCTCACACCTGTGCAATCTTGACCCCGTCCCTCCAGCTGCTCAGTGCAGGTACAGAGCTGGCCTTGGCGTTCCCCCGTGTTCTTTATAACATGACTCCACATTGCAGACGTGAAAGGCCATGGGCAATAGGATTCTGCCTCTCAAACCTCTGCCCCTGTGGAAACTGACTTAATCTGCAACCTTAGACAAATCAGCTCACTCCATAGCCCTAAAATAGGAATAATAGCAAATCATACCTGTTCCTAAGACACGTGTTTTTAGGTACATTTCAATTTGTAAAATTTCTGGGGAACAGATATCAAATAATGCACAAATTTTTGTATGTTTGTGGTTAGTGAGGAGAAAAAAATTTTGTAAGTACATCTTAGAAGGTCTTAAGAAATGAAGTAAAAAATGTGTTTGGGGTTTCTGTTTGATTGTTTTGCTCCTTTTGTTCAGTTTTTGGTCACAGGTGAGCTACTGACAAGAGAAAAGTGTATCACTCACTCACTCATTCATTCCACCAAGGTATGGAGCCCCACTCCATGCTGGGGCTCTGCTGGGTGAGGATGCAGGGCGAACCACCCGGGGGACATGGGGGGCGGTGCTGGCTTCCTGGGTGAACACTCCCTGCAGTGGGCACCTGGGTCCCCTGGAGGCTCAGGGATGCGCCTGAGAATTCATATCGCTAATCGATTCCCAGATGATGCTGCTGCCACTGGTCAGGCACTTGGAGGCCACTGTTCTGAGGTAGTGGATAGATCCGAAGTTAGTCAGAGCAAACATATAAATAAAGGCTTGTAGTGAGCTTGGAGGAGATGACTAAGGAGCTAATAGAGCAGTGATGGTGAACTTTTTGAGCTCGGCGTGTCAGCATTTTGAAAAACCCTAACTTAACTCTGGTGCCGTGTCACATATAGAAATGTTTTGATATTTGCAACCATAGTAAAACAATGACTTATATTTTTGATATTTATTTTATATATTTAAATGCCATTTAACAAAGAAAAATCAACCAAAAAAATGAGTTCACGTGTCATAGGTTCGCCATCACTGTAATAGAGCATATAGAGGAGATGTCTTCGTAGGAATACGTCTGGTCTCTGGTGAGGTGCAGTTTAGACTAAAGCAGTGGCTCTCAACTCTGGTTACACATTAGAATCACTCCAGCAGCTTATCTGTCACCCCCATTCTCAAGGCCCCCATGTAACCAGTTAAATCAAAAGCTTGACATGGGAGCTGGGCCCAGCGAGGGCTGAGGATTGTTGCACGGGAGTGAGAAGGAGCTGGGCACAGGGAAGTGGCGGGGAAAACATGTCTGACAAAGGAAATGGCAGCTGTGGAAGAAGTGAGGGAGAGGAAAGACTGGGTCTGCAGGGGGACCAGGATGTCTGGAGGATGAGCAAGAGAAGAGGAGAGTGGCAAGAGGTGCTTTCAAGAAACAGGCGGTGGCCACTTACCTGAGTTGTCTCGAATGCCATGACAAGGAGTCCCACCTTATTTTGTGCACCCCAGCAGTCACGGGAGGCTCCTAGCCAAGGAGAGAGCAGCATGCCCAATCTGCATTTTGAGAGTAGGGCTTCCTGTAAAGTGACATGTGTCCTCAGCAGACAGCCTTGATCATGACTTGGGACTTCAATATCGAATGTTCTCCCTCTTCCTTCAAAATTGTGGCCTCCAATTAGCACACAGCCAAGTTAGGGAATCAATGTAGGGGCTCAGAACTTGAAA